GATAGCGATAGATAGTAAATGATCACAAGGTCATTCGGACAACAAGAACAATAATAATGAACCAAGCATATATTGCTAGCCAGCATTAGCGGTCAAATCGTTGAATAACCTAATAAAAACTTTTACGATCCTTTTTGGCCATTTCAGATAGCATATAGAAAGTGTAAATATAGTTAGTGCAACATTATTCATTCATATTAATCAAAAATGACCAGATTCTATGCTGTCTATTAGAATGCCTATAAATTACTTTCTGCTTAATAAAACTCTTTCATGTGGACAATCAAGAAAAGTGGACAGAGAAGAATGAAAAGTAAGAATCACGGAAGATGTGTATATATTTTGCATAGAAGTGCTATTAATACTATCCATATACAATATGTTGTTGGTTGGGGTATGCTTTAGTGTCACCACTATTGTATACAATATGTTATGGAGAGCTTTTATCTTCGCCACACATATGTTCCAATGTGATTGATATGTTATTGTATTTTTGGAATTTACTAAATTTTACCACAAACTATAGAGCAAACTCATATTTGATAATAATTCTTTTTCACATTATTTAGCAATCAATTATTCCGATTTTTATCTTTTTTTGTTATCAGAATATAAAAAATTATTGAAGAAATATTTGTGCATATAAATTTGATTTTGTTATGAGTTATGGTAAAATTAGTGAGCTTTAAATGAAAAAAAAAAAATTCCCATTTTTTTTAACATCTCAATTATGTGATTTTTTTTTCAATTTTGAATTTCAGTGATTTTCCAAGAGAAAAAAAAAAGTGGTGTTTTAATTTTAAAAAAAAATTATGAGAAAATCGTAAAAATTGATATAGTGCTTATAAAAAAAATCTAATTGAGAATGTATAAAGTTGTACTGATATGACTTTCGTACTTCGAATATAATCCGATCATTAGTGATATCATTCCTCAATTACTGATGAATTGAATGGTGTTAAAATAAAGCGACATTATCATATGATCCTGATAACTACTCCTAACAATTGAGGTCATCATTAGCCATAATTTCGCTCACATTAAGAACTTAATAGATGTTTATCGCAACTTACCTGTTCAATTTGACCCATAACGACGTGAACAGTGATCGATTCATCTTCGGAGGTCAGTTAGTGAAATGCAATATATGAAAGAGTGATTTGATTGTACAAAATTTCGTCATTTACCTTTATCCTTTTTTCATTCACAAACTCATTCATGCATAAATAATGCACAAGAATAATTGCATTGTCCATTCGATATACTTTTGATGAAAATATCCCTCTACTTATTTATTTCAAAATCTCTCCGCCTCTTTCTTTCCTTTTCTCCCTCTCTCTCTCTTTCTCTCTCTATTTACTTATTTATTTATCCGAATTAACTTCAAAGAGTGTTCCATTAGTCTTTTCAATAATTCAAAAATTACTAAATTTGTAAAAATTATTAACATTCTATTCTTGATTTGTGCAATGAACGTAAAGTTAATTATGCGACATCACTTTTAAAAAAAATTGCACTTAAATGATATAATTATCCTAAATAATTTTTAATCGTTTCAAAATTGAATATTAATTTAGTACAATATCATTTGCAAATCATTGTCAGTTTTGTCAGTTAACAATTTAGAAAATAATTATTAATTAGTTGGCAGTTAATAATTTTAAAAAAATGAGACGTGAAAAAGATTTCAAATAGAAAAATTTTTCACAAATTTTTGCATACTCACATTTCTTCCCATTTGTTTACTCTTTAAAAAAAAAAAAAAGCTCTCTTTCACCTCCTTCTCCCTCTCTTTCATTTCTTAATTTTTTCCAATCAAATTCATACAATGTCAAGATTCTAAAATTTTGTGCAGATTGAAGTGGCTCTTGATTAGCATTAGCTGGAAAAGAAGATGGAATATACAAATTAACGATAAGTAAAGTGGATTATAGCTGCTGTAACGTTTTAGACGAAGCACGTTTCTGTTGATAATTCGGTTATCAATGATGAGACATACTGACCAGTGGTCAGTGGTCCAATGTATTCTCACAAATTTCAATTATTCCAAGGACAATCCTATTCTTTCTTATCTTTCAATTAGCATACTTTTTTGCCCTTTTATATTAATATTTCGTGTAAATGAAATTTGAAGAAATTCACTATTTGATAAACAATTAAATGCTAATCATTTTACTTATTTGAAAATATGTTTAGCACTCAATGTTATGCATAAATAAATAAATTAATTAAGTACAATTGACATCTCATATAACGATTTTATTTTCGCTCGCATTTATGATAAATTCATTTCATTCTCATTTTAATTGATAAGTTCATGAACAATTTAAATGTTGAATATAGAATTTTTTACTTGAATAACGGATAAATTTTGAGAACTGAGTATTTCAAAATCTTTCACATCTACTGCAAGTATCAAAAATTTCCATTTTAGACCAATTAATTAAATTCTTATACTTCTATTTTAAATGTAAATTTTTTTAGAGTATCTTTTTCTTTACATTGCTTCTATGAATCATACAGTTTACCTTATGATTAATTACCAATAACAGCAATGTTTAATTGAGTAAATAAGTAAATGTGAATAAATAAAATAAATTTTGAAATTAATGAATAATAATCATTCGCTCTAACAGTTTATAATTAGTCCTAAATAATATCTTGTCTGAATTAGATTTTTTTACCTTATTTTCATTACAAATTCCAATTAAATTTCTTGCAACCAATTCAATTAAATATTTTTTGGATGATATGAATTATTCATTTAAATCATTCAAGGAAATTGTTAAAATTTTCATTTTATTTCTAAATTTCTGTTTTTTTCTCCCTCCTACTTTTTTGCATGCCTTAATATTTAAAAGACATTGCTTAATTAAGCAGTACATGAAATGATTAAGATAATTAGGTTATGCTTGACCGAGAATCATTGCTATCCTATCTTCCACAGATCTGAAATATATGATAGCATATCATAATCAGAGTGGATTTTCTCTTATATTTTTCTCAACTTATCAAAAAATATCAGATTTATATATAATTTAAATTAAATAGTTAATTCTTTCAATGCCATTTCTAAATTTACAATTGACCAATTGTTTTTTTTTTCTAGGCTTATTAAAAATATCATATTTCTAATTTAACAGAATGAAACAGACATTGTTTTTCCCGATTTATCAAAAGTTATACTTTTATATCTAAACTTCATGTTATCATATCGGATATTAATTTTCTAAGTTATTATCATGCAAACTTTTAGCAATTATCAAAACTTCCAAAATGAGAAGTAATTTGTGGACATTCTATTTTCATGCTAAATTAGAACACATGTTTAAAATGTGCAGTAAATTTGACCTTCTGTTCATCAACTAATAGTTGTAATTAAATTTCGTCATTACTGATTAATCGCCTCCTGTTGCCCTTTATTAATAAACAAATTTCACTAGCATGTCTAAACAAGTTGGATTGTCGCTGTACATATTCTTGTTTACATGGCATCATCTTTAAATTAAATATCATATTTCTAATTTGGCAGAATGAAACAGATTTTTTATTTTTAATGATTATTTTAAATCATTTTTACGCAGACTATTGCTATTAATTGTTTCAATACCATTTCTAAATTTATAATTGACAAATTGTTTTTTCTTATTTATTTTTGAATGGCATTGTAAAAATTTTAAATTGATGAAATGTTGAAGTGCTTCTTTTCTTCTTCTTTTTTTCTCTCTTTTCAAATTTAGTTTTTATTTCTTTTTTTTTGTATTCCTGAGGCAGAAATGTAACAGCGCACCTTTTTATTCAATTCGTTCAAGAATTTAATTCTTAACTCATTACTGAAATTATTATTAGCATTAATTTAATATAAGACGATAGGAATGTTTAAACATTTTTACAATAAATCGATTGGAGAAGGTTACCTTTTATTTCGTATTTTTTTCAAGATCTCTCTCTCTCTCTGAGTGTTTGTTTATTTTCATTTCCTAATGTTTTTAGAGGGGAAATGATCTTTTCAATAATTTCACGTAATCAATATTTAAAGTTGATTGGGCCATTCTAATTTTAGGTACCTGATAATACGGGTGCTTAATTTAGATAATTGGTATTGATTGAACAAAATTTATTATATATGTATATATATATATTAATTGAATAAATAATTTTAAGCATGATTTTGTGTTTTTTTTTGAACAAATTGCTGCATCAAATTGAGAGGACATTTCACGTTTGGGCTTATTTTTTTCTTCCATCAATAATTTCACTTCAGCTAATTTTTTTATTTCATAAAAGCTGTGCAAACAATGATTTTAAGTTTTTTTTTAATAGATCGTTTAGTCTCCAGAAGTACTTTTCCACAATCATCCATCGTGACAATTCTGTGTTTTCAATTTCTGTCCCTTTCTGCTACTTCTCCTCATTTTTGAGCTATTGAAATCGAAATGATTCATTTATATTTTATCTCATTTTATTCGAATGTTTTAAAAATGTTTAATCACTTGTCCAATTAGATAAATTAGTAACTTTTCCATTACATTCACTTTAACATTTGTTTTTAAAAGTAAAATTTGTTGCTTAAAGTATATTGATGCAAATTTTCGTATTTGCTCAGAGTGTTTTATCACCGCGACAATCTTTTTCGAGTATCTATCCATCCATTCATCTCAATCTTTCAATTTAGTTTTAAAAGACATAGACTGAATTTAAGGATCGATTTGTGAAATTTACTCTTGCAATCAGCAATCATTGTTGCAATCATTTCTTACATGTATATAAATTATATAGTTGTTTAATTTGTGCAAAATGATTTTAATAAATGATATCAGACAGTTCTCATTTCAATTTCAATTTCTCATATTTTGCCTCCTTTTATTCTTGTTTTTTCTTTCAATTTTTTTCCTCCAATCTTATGAAAATCAAGATTTTCGCGAAAAATTATCATCTGATTTGAGACAAATTAAATTTTAATTATATGCTAAGATTTTAGATCCTTTGAAATTAAAAGGATGCGCAGAATACAACTGTTGATATACATGCTAACGGTGATGCTAATGAGTGGGCTAATAGTAGAAGTTGAAGCTCAACCGATGTTTACTGCTTCTGTCAGTGTAGAATCTGACGAAACATCTGGTAAGTAATGCAGTTTGAACACACTTTTAATGATAGTATTGTTCTATAAACGAAATTCATTAATGCTATTTGTAATTTTATCACATTTATTAGTTAAAAATTTTTTATTGATATAAAATTTCAAATAAAATAACTATAAAATAATGATAATTTTGAAGAGAGCAAAAGTCAAAAAGATCAAATCGGATCGTCTTAGAGTTTTATTTTGTTTTTTCCAGATGCTAAACGATATGAAAATAAGTTTTCGAAGCACTGAATTATAGCTCATTAGTTGTTTACTTGTTTGTTATTTGTTTTTTATTGAATTTATTTCCAATTTTTATTACTTTCCTACAATTAATTACTTGCTTACCTTTGGTCTTTCATTTATCATCCAAATATGTAGCATGTAATTATAATCCAATTGCAGTAGATAAAATTTAATGTATTAAGCAAAATATCCAATATATATGTTGTAAATAATATCTTCTAATTAAAAATTGTAGCATGTAATTGTAATCCAATAATTTCATATTTAGTATTTCAGTATATCTGAACTACCATTCCCCAAAAAGTTCTTCTGTACTTATATTTGTTCAATATTTTTTATTACATTTTGATATATTAAGCTGATTTTTCCATTTTCGTTTTAATTTTTACAATTTTTTCTTTCATAAAAAGCTATTTCTGAGATCTGTAACTTCTACTATCCAATACTTATAACCTTCATCATTTTGAATAATTAATGTTTTAACTTCAGACAAGTATCATTTAAATTAAAATTACATATATTTTTTTTGCTGCTAATTACAAATAAACGGTAACGTTCGAATGAGTTTTCCAATTTTTTTTTTTCTTTTTATTCCTAAAGTCAAAGGTGATTTCTGTTGAATTTCTCTCGCAAAAATTCATTCCACTTTGAAATTACATTTTTCACGCACATTACTCCCCCATCATTATTAATTTCAATAATTAAGCTCTCGGATTTCAATTCATCATTTATACTTAAAAATTGCAAATTAATTTTTAGGTCCATTGGATTGTTCATTCGGTAAATTATCCTCTATAATCGGACACAACAATTTTTCAATTCTGGGAATGCTTCAGAATTGTGCAATATTTTACATTTTGGGTGATAATATCAAAGCTAACAGCAACATTGATTTATCGGATATTGAAGGATCATTAGGTCGATGCCAATCATCACAACCATTATTTTATAAGCGAAATAATGGTTTCTTTTTTATAACTTCGAGTCATTTATATTTTAAAATTTCAAAAATTTTGTTGAATATTTTAATGATCAAATGATAGGATTATCTCGAACAATAATATAATTACGTCAATTAGCGTAATTAATTTTATACAGTAAGGTAGGGAATTGAATATTTCAGAATATCAATTAGTGATAGCTCAAAAGATGAGCATATATACCGGGCAGTGCTTATGGCAGAACAATTCGGAATTCTATCTCAATTGCTTATTTGATCGGAAGCAATGGAAAAAGCATTCGATCAAACCATCCATAAATGATGACGATACGGAAATAATTGGACATGTCACTGACGTTGACGCTGATATCCTTCACGTCTTTTACATTGACGGTTAGTTGTACAGTTTGTACAGTTTTATATTACGAGCAACTGATCAGAGTGTCTTTTACCAATGCTCTTTCTAAATTTAAAATAGTTTTGAATCAGTTACGAAGGTTAAATAAAGAAATTTAAAATAGTTTTGAATCAGTTAAGAACGTCTCAGTTACAGCAATTGATTGATATAATTTTTTTGTTACAATAATGGATTTAAAACTTGCAAAAAACTCAAATCTTATATGATCAAATTTTTGAAAGTTGCAGTTGAAATTTTAGCTTTCCCAAGCAGTCGGATCATTTAATAGAAACGAAGGACTAATTATTTTACAACTTTGATTTTAATCTACCGAAGAGAAAAGATTTTTTAAATATGCAATTAACTTGCAAGACTTTTCGATCAATTGGTTTTGGTAAATAATCAGATGGCTAATAAAGCGATCAGTGAAAAAAAGTGAATTACTACCGTTACTCTATTACATATTTCTTTTAATTACAAAGTTTTCAGGGCGAAATTAAAATTGTAATAATAGGAAATTGAATAAATAAATGAACTTCATCATAAATAATCTTTCAGAAAATGGAATTCTCCATGATTCATCGTATAATATCACATCAGAGAACTTTATCAAACAGGCAGTTTTGCAGCAAAAGAATTTAAAGAAATTATCCTACGACTCAGATCGTCAAGTTAGCTTAACAATTTTTCAGCTAAGCAAACTTTCCATTATCATTTAAGGAAATTATAAACTTGGGAATGGATTCTGCCATGTTCTTAGTTTGATGAACCTTCAATGTAGTGTGCATGACCTTTTAAAAAAGTTTTTGAATTTTTACGCAAATTTAGAATCTATCATTTTTAATAAAGTGTAAAGTTTTGAATAGCATTAAAAAATTTTTCAGTTAATGTATATGCTCACAAATGAAATGGTCTGTCAGAAAGTAAAAAGCAATTTTGGCATTTTTGTCTATGAACCGACGTACGCTAAAGTAAATAACTTTAGCCGGGGAAGCTATTCAACCTTCTCCTTCAGCAATAATTATTATATAATTCAAAAGGTGATTGTTTAGTGATAAAAATTTATGGTAATATATAATTTTAAAATTTCTTCCAATCAAACTATAATTCAAAGGTCATAATTCTCAAACTTTCACTCACTTAGGTTTAAAACAGTTCGGGTCAAATTAGTTCAGATCTGCTCCTTATTCATTGTTGCTCGAGTCAAAACTAGTTCAGATCTGTTCTTCATCCATTACTGTTCGGATCGAACGAATTCTCTATATCTGTTCTGTTCTGTTCTGTATCTGTTCTGTATCTG